CCGGAAACGAGCGTGAAGAAGCGCCGTCGCCTCGCATTGCGATCGGGCATGCGCGCGCAGCGCTCCTGTGGCGCTGCACGCTCTGAACCCAGCTGATGCTGCCATCACGCCGGTGACGAACAGACCGAGATTCATAATTGAATCCGGAACATTCTCCCCGCCATCAGCAACGCAGTTGATGATCCTTGATCCTACGATGAGATTGGCAGGGCAGGCGAGCTTGACAATTGGTCGGATGAGAGTGGTAGTGGCTGTCTTCAGGGTCACCACCCGCACGAGACCATCCTTCCCAGGATGTAGAGCAGTGATCCGGGCTAGCGGCCATTTGCATGGCGGTAGCCGCTCGTCGGTGATGAGCACCAATGATCCGATCTTGATCTCGTTGTTCCTGTGGTGCCACTTTGAGATGGCTTGTTGTCGTTGTAGGTGATGCGCTGCCCAGTGTGTCCAGAAATGTTGTGGCTTCTGCTGGATGAGCTGCCATCGAGAGTCTTGATAGTGCCAGGTCGGTGAGTGAGGGCTCTGGTATTGCGGTGAGCGGACTTCCTACGAGGAAGTGGCCTGGCGTGAGCGCTGCGATGTCGTCCGCGTCGTCACTCAATGGTTCGAGCGGGCGCGAGTTGAGAATTGCTTCAATTTGAGTGAGCAATGTGGTGAGCTCCTCAAAGGTGAGCACGCTTTCTCCAATGGTCCGCCGTAGGTGGTACTTGATAGATTTTACGACGGCCTCCCATTTTCCTCCCATGTGAGGTGTCGCTGGGGGATTAAATTCCCATCGAGTATTGTCTTGCGAGAGCAGGTGAGAGACTCGATGATGTTCTTGAGTGCTCTGGATAAACAGCCTTTTGAGAGCTGCATCCGCGCCGATGAAATTGGTGCCGCAGTCGGAGTGTAAGGTGTGAGCAATGCCGCGTCTGGCTGAGAAGCGTCGATAGGCGGCAATGAATCCTTCCGTTGAGTAATCACTGACCGCCTCGAGATGTACTGCTGAGGTTGAGAAGCAGACAAAAACGCAAATCCAGCCTTTTGTTGTTTTGGCACCTCTTCCTTTCCATGTTTTGACGGTGAGCGGCCCTGCGTAGTCCACACCTGTATGAGTGAACGGTCGTGCCTGCGTAACTCGAGAGAGAGGTAGTTGGCCCATCAATTGATGAGCACGGATCCCCCTCTGACGAGCACACGTGACACACCGCAGGATGTGAGACTTGACAGGAGCCCTCCCGCCGAGAATCCAGTATTGTTGTCTGATGTGTGACAGCGTAAGCTGCGTGCCTCCATGTAGAGTCCGTTGATGGGCGTGAGCGATGATCAATGACGACAGCTGAGAGTGACGAGGCAGTATTACAGGATGTATCGCGTCGAATGAGAGAGCTGCGTGAGCGAGTCGTCCGCCGACGCGAATGACTCCTTGAGCGTCGATGTACGCAGTCAATCTGTTGAATGCGTGCGCCTTTGCCAACGGTGAGTCTGCCTGTAACGCCTTGAGCTCGTGCGAGAAGTACGTTGCTTGAGTTGCCTGAATCCAGAAGAGCCTCGCTTTCTCCAAGGTCTCTGGAGAGATGTGTCTGACAGGCAATGAGTCGTGGACTTTCCTCAACCGTGAGACGAATCTGAAACAGAGAGCTGTAATCCTCAATAGTTTAGTGAGGCTTGAGTACCTGTAGCTGAGTTCCCATTGATATTCAGTCCTTGGCGTAACCGTCAATAGCGAGACGCCTGGGCGAGCTTCTGTTGCACTCATCTCGTCAGAGAGTGCAGGTTGCGACGGCCATGAGTCTGGTTTGAGTATCCATGGTGGTCCCGTCCACCAAGGTGCGTGGTTTTGAAGCTGAGCAGTCGTGAGGCCTCGTGATGCGCAGTCAGCCGGATTAGAAGTTCCAGGAATGTATCTCCAGTGAGCGGCTGGAGTGAGTTCTTGAATTTGAGCCACTCTGTTCCTGACAAAATCCTTCCAGCGTGATGCATGAGATCTGATCCACGAAAGTGTCACTAGAGAGTCCGTCCACATATGCGTTGCCGTTACGTCCATGTTCAAAGTGGCTTCGACGTATTGCATGAGTCGAGAGAGCAGTAGAGCAGCTGTGAGTTCAAGTCGCGGGATTGAGAGCCGCTTGAGGGGTGCTACCTTAGTCTTGGAGCACACAAGTGAGAACGTGGCGCCGTTTGAGCCGTGAACGGATATGTATATGACTGCAGCCATTGCCAATTGAGAAGCATCAGAGAATCCATGAAGTTCCACTTGCGAGTCGCTCCACGTATTGAGCCACCGAGGTATTGAGAGCCTGGCCAGGCTTGTGAGTTCTTCTCTGATGATGAGCCACCGGGCTGAGAGCTGGGATGGCAGTGGGTCATCCCATTGGAGCTTGTGCAGCCACAGCTCCTGCAAGAGAATTTTGGCCTTGATCACGACAGGTGATGCAAAACCAAGTGGATCGAGTATCTGAGCCACTTCAGATAAAACGAGGCGTTGTGAGTCTGCTTTCCGAGCGTGAGCTTCGGGTTGAGAATGCAACGGTATCTTCTTGAGGGAGCCATTTGAGTCCGAGGATCTTGGTTGCGCAATCGTCGAAGGTGATTTGTGAGCCTTGGTCTTCGCTGTCGATGACAGTCTTGAGTATGTCGAGATGAATTGCATGCCATTTTGCTAGTGGGAAGCCGCCCGCCATGCAGAGGCCCCTTAGTTGCTGTGCGACCTCCTGCAAGTGTTGTATTGTATCTGCACCACCAAATATATCAGTGACATACCTGCCGTGAGTGATCACCGGCACAGCCAGTGGGAAACTATGTCCTTCGTCTTCTGTTAATTGTAACAAGGTCCGTACGGCTGAGAATGGTGCGACCTTCGTCCCGTAGGTGACGGTTGTCAGATGATATGGCACTTTATTGAGTTGATCGTCCATCCAGAGTATCCGTTGTGACTCCCAGTCATCCTTGTGAATTTTGATCTGCCTGTACATCTTGGTGATGTCCGTAGCGAGAATGTAACGATGTCTCCGCATCCATGGTAGAACATCTGAGGTGTTCAGATGTAGCTTTGCTCCAGTGTACATGAGGTAGTTGACCGGGTAGCCTGATGTGGATGCGCTAGAGCCATTGAAAACCACCCGCAGTTTCGTTGTAATACTGGCCGGCTTGAGAACACCGTGATGTGTCAGGTGAAAATGTGAGCGATGACTGGAGATGAATGCTGCCTTCGTAGTGTGGTTGAGTGTCTCGTAATCAATCATGAATTGTTGATAGAGACGTTGATAATTCACATCCCTTGAGAATCGTCTGCGTAATCCCTTCAGACATTTATGAGCGACGTTGTAAGAATCACCCAAAAGATCGTCTGGTGACTTGAGTAGAATCCTGTCGATGTACCCCTCTGGAGAATCACGAAAGTGTGTAGTATTGAAGTGCTTCTCGCACCTCTGCTCGTTAGGAGTGAGCTGAGTGACATCGTGAGTAGGCACCTCCTCTTGAATCCAAAATTTCGTCAATAACTCAATAAGAGCATCCTCGTTGAATTGAGTAGCAGCATGATGCGTTGATGTGCGTGTTGCTTCCCTATTGTCTGATCCAAGAACGAGCCATCCGCAAATGGAGAGTTGCGCTATCGGCATGAGTGGAGAATGCCTGATGATATTGGGCTTGATGATTTTCCCGTAAGCGTCTGAGCCGATGAGGATGTCAACTGGCCGTGGGATGAGAAAATCTGGATCGGCTAATGCCAAGTTCCGGAGATGCGGCCATTCTTCCGGTTCCGCCTCGAAAGATGGTAAAATTGATGTAACTGTCCGGAGGACATGAGCTTGAATTGTGGCAGTTGCGGTGGAACATGTCGAGCGCAGCGTGAGTGACACGACTCCTCGTGTCCGAGTACACTCTTTACCTGCAATTCCATAAACGAAAATACCTGAGTATTGACGAGGGATGTTGAGCTGCCGAATGAGATTCTCCGTGACGAAGGTGAATCCAGGGTATGCGTCAATGAGTAGACGCGCTGATTGATGAGTGGTGGAGTGAGATGAGCTGATCACTGCCAAGGCTGTGGCGAGTAGAGTTGAGCAGGATGAGTGGACGTGTGAGCGGATCTCGACGATTGCACCGTCTCTTCAGTTCGAGGGCGTTACCGACGAACCACAGGTCGATTGGGCGGACGAAGCTGTCCGTGAGTGGCGGAGTACGCCGATGATGCGTTGCGCTTGCGTGTGGCACAGCGTTTCCTCCTGACGAGCGTTCCCCGAGAAATGTTCGTGATGAGTGAGCGCAGAGGGCCATGAGACCTCGAAGTAGGTGTGTTCCTTGAGAAACGCCTTGTGCGTCTCCTCGGTGTGAAGCCAGAAGTGATTTACTTCTTCAACAGAAATCTCTGCAGGAGACTCCGGGAGAACTTCTGCGATGGCCTTGATAGTAGAGATCCGACCCAGCTGCGTCTGCACCTTCAGGGCGAGTTCCGTGGAGAGCCGAATCGGAGACGCCGTCCTCGAGGATAAGCGATCTCCCGACCGCAGTTCCAGTTGCTGAGTCACCGGGCGGTCCGCCTTGCCCGTGTTCTGATCGTCCGACATGGTGAGGTGACACGTGAGAGAGCCGTGTATTACACGATCGATGCGTGTCACCGTGTATATGAGCGCCGAGCGGAGATAATAAAGTCTCTCCACGTTTGTTAGCTGCTCGTTCGAGATGATCAGACTTGAGAAGAGATCTCGAAAGGCAGGTCATGCGGCATACTCCCCGGTGAACTTGGGGAGTGAGGTGTCCGGCAAGCGTTGAGTGTGTCTGTCCGGTCTCGTCCGGCCGATGAGAGTCACGAGAGAGAAATGTGAAATCGCGTGCACGATGCGTAGAACCGTGTGTGCGCGCCACTGATCACACGGAAGGGCCGTGAGATCACGTGATCACTGCGTGGTTGGGCCAATCCGTCCGAGAGCCTCGCCGCAATCCGGCTCGAAGGACCAAAAAA